CCTGGGGTGGGCCGGGTGGGCTGGCCCCGCCGTGTTCGGCTGCAGTGCAGTTTCCCGGGGTCGGGTGGGCGGGCTGCAGCTCAGCCCCGCTGTGTTCGCTGCATCGCGCGCCGAACACAGCGGGGTGTGCCCACCATGGGGTGGGCCAGGTGGGCTGGCCCCGCCGTGTTCGATTGCAGCGCAGTTCCCGGGTGGGCGGGGTGGACCGTCTGTATCAGATGAGCGGCGATCGGCCGCGCTGCCAGCCGATAGGCCGGCCGCGATTGTCGGCGGCGCTCGGCATCACGTCACAGTCGGCGTTGCTGCCCGCCGCGCCGACACCGCCGGCTCGGCTCGGCCCGGGCGGTGGCCGTGTCTCACTCGTGCTCTCGCCGTGGCGGCGAGCTGCCGGCGGCGGCTCGGCGGACGTGGTGGGCGGAGGTCGATCACGGAGCTGGTCGGGCGGCTGGTGGAGCGTGGTGACGAGCCGTGGGGCGAGCCAAGGCGACGGTGCCAGTGACGCCGGCACCGCCTGTGACCGGGCGGGGCAGCAGGGCCCGGAGTCGGAGGTCGGCGGGCGGCCGAGACCTCTCCTCCGCCGCCTGACCCTGGACTCGGTCCGCCGCCGGCGCCGCCAGCCGCGCTGAGCCGTGGCGCGCCGTGCCGAGTCGAGCGTGCCTTGAACGCGCCACTCACGTATGCCTCTCCATGCGCGCGGCGGCCCGACCCGCCCGCGTCGTCTCCTGCCAGTGGCGGCTGGCCGTCGGCTGCGGGAGCTGGGCGCGCGCGGTCTGTGACCAGTCTTCGTGACCTCCCGTTGGTGACCGCGCCGGTGCCGCAGTGGACAGCACGTTGTTGGTGTTGTCGTGCGCGCCCGCCCCGACCCCGTGACCGCTGCCGAGTGAGGCAACAAGACTGCTGAGCGATCGCGCGGCGCGAGCGCCGTAGCGTCGGGCGTCGATGGGGTTCCGTCGGCTGCGGCGTGTGCTGGGCGGCAAGCTGGGCCGCGCACTGGGCTGGAGCTACACGCTGAGGATGAACTCGCCGCGACCCTCCCAGGTAATCGGACGGCGGGGGGGGGGGGGGGGCGCCAGGCACGAGGCCGCTGGTGGCTGCGCAGTTCGCTCCTGCTGTAGGTGGACTCGCTTCTCCTGGGGTTTGTGGGAGGTTGTGTGTACAAGGTTCCCCGTACGAAGCCAAGGTCGGTCGTGTCTATACGTAGTACATGGTCGGTGTGTCTATATGTAGTACTCGCGCGGGGCGCGGCTGTGTGGCGCACGCCGTCAGGGTCGGGCCTGGCACCTCGAGCTCGACGGCGGTCCGTTCGCCTGTGCTTGCACCCCGGCGCTGCCAGCAGTGGCGCGCGCCTGCGTGACAGCTGAGCGTGGTCTGCGCAGCAGTTGAACTTTGCCTGTCGGTGTCGAGTATCGGCCGAGCAATGCTGTACCGTGAGGCCGTGGTATCGGCTGTCGGGCCATATCTCCCGGAAAATGGCCAGACCTGCCGGCCATTGTGGCAGCTGTCCTGACTGGGACAGCTGGGACTGCGCCGTGTCAGACTGAGCTGCCTTGGCTTGGACAGCTGGGGCGGCGCCGTGTTGGCCTGAGCTACCCTGGCTGGGACAGCTGGGGCGGCGCCGTATCGGCTGAACCCGTCCTGACTGGTACGACGCCGTCTCGGCTTGCGCTTCCCTGGCTGAGACAGCTGGGCGCTGTCTCGGCCTGATCTGCCTTGACTGGGGCAGCTTGGACGGCGCCGTGTCGGCCTGATAGCGGTGCCAGCCAGGCCTTGCGTCGAGGAGCGATAGCTGGGCCTTCTCCGCCCGCGGCGGCGGTACGACGGCGGCCCGCGGCGCTGGCGGGGCCCGGCACGTGGGAACATGTATGGCGTCACAATGGAGCGGTTCCGATCGCTTCCCGGCGACCGTCGGATCGGATCGCTTCTGGGCGGCCATCCAGCCGCCGCGTGATTGGTCAGCATTGCCTTTGGGCGAAGCCGACACTGTCCGGCCGTGTTATGGCGCTGTGGGCTTTCAGGGCCGAGCCTGTGGCGGCTGGGCGCGCGGGGCGGGGCATCAAACAAAGCTGTCCGCCCTGCGGAATGCCGCCTGATCGGCAAACACGCGCGCGCGCGCGCTCACGCTCCAATGACAACGCCGGCCTTTGTTCGGCGCCTGCGCTGACGTAAAGTGGCGCTGTCGGCATAAGTGCGTTTGTTTACGGTGTTTGCGCCGCCCACCTGTCGTTTTTGCTGCCGGTTGTCGGCGCTGGGCGCCCGCCGCTTGGCCGCCAGCCGGCCGCCAGCGCAAGCTTCAGTTTCAGAACGTGTCACCAGGTGGCGTACGAGTGTCGCTGTGGTGCGGTGCAGCATGCTCGGTTGGCGGGCTGGGGAGAGAATAGCTTCTCACGTGCGTTGGCTGCCGGGTGGCGGCGCGTATGTGTGGTCTGTTCGTGTGCCTCACGAATGAATGAGTGCGGCAAGTGCTGCATTCACATGCGCATGAACTAGCTGCTCTTTGTAGCGCAATGCAGCGAAGGGTAGTGTATGGTCTATGGACATTCAGACGGGTACTCTGAGCAGTATCTTTACAGTTCCCTCGAAAGCGGAGGAATATTCTGGCGCCGTGTTACCAGCAGAGCACCGCGGAGCGGTCCATTCAGCACCACGCAGCAATGCGTGGGCTGGTGATACAGGTAGTTTGTTGGCAACTGAAAGAGTTGACCATGTTTTGGATGCATTGGAACCCGGCACCAGTGCGTCAGCTATAAATTGGCAGTTCTGCGCCAACGTAAATACATCTGGGCTGTTGCTGGTACCAGGTGCCTGCATTTTTGCAGCGGTATCCCGTAACATGTTGAGCTTGACAGTGGTCGTGTGCATGAGGTTGCTGGATGGACAGGTTTGTTTCGTAGTTCAGTTATCGTTTCAGTACAGCCGTGGTTAACTTTGGTTTGCAGACCTTGTACCAGATTGCCACGGCAAGGAGATCGAGATAACGAACGTGTGTCTGATACGCGGGTAGATTGCACGGCTCGTTTCGGCATAAGATAACGGTGATAGCGGCATCCTCATGTCATACACGCGGAGAAAGCAGCCGAGATTAGTTGGCGATGGGGCACGTTTGTTTAGCTGTGGGCATGTTTTTGCCGTCCGCTTGTCGACGGCCCTGCCATCAGCTTTGTACAGAGGTGAATGTTGTTGGTGTTGCCAATCGGTACTGCTTAGTTGCTTGCAAGTCGATGGCTCGCATTCTGGGTCGCGATGACCTCGGTGCAGGTTCGGACAGTATCATTGATATAACAAATTTTGACGTCATCTGATCTGTCTATTGTTTTCCATTTATTCTGTTCGGCTTTCTTTTGTGTCACGATTTGTTCCGAGCTCAGCCATGTCCGGCGAAATGTCTCGAAGCGTCTGGCCGTGTCATTATTGATCTACACCGCGTCGGCACGTGACGCGCTCAAGGTGCAGCCATATCAGGTATGGGAAACCCGCCGTCGGCTTTACGTGTGAGCACTGAAGTGGCTTCCCGACGAGCGTCTTTTAAAAATGAAAGACCCGCTGGCCCCCGCCGCCGTTCTCCACCCTCGTCAGACTTTCATCCTCCGTCTGGACCGGTGCCGCCTCTGGCGCGAAGGAGGCCGTTTTTACCGGTGGATTCGCCATGGCCGCTTGTGCGGGTTTGCCAGCTCCCCGGTGCTGCGGCCGGCCTGTCACGGCGAATCATGAGGCGGGCTCACTGTCGGCGGCCCTCTCACGCCCGGCCGTGTTAGCAGCTCAGGGAGCCGGCGCCGAGTCCGGCGTTCGTCCTCTGACTCGGGGCCGGTGCCGGCGGGCGCCCGTCCTCTGCCCTGGGGGCGGGGCTGACGCTGGCGCGCTTCCGTCCTCCGGCTCGGGGTGGGTCGGTGCCTGCGGGCGCCCGTCCTCTGCCCTGGGGGCGGGGCCGGCGCTGGCGGGCTTCCGTCCTCCGGCTCGGGGTGGGCCGGTGCCGGCGGGGGCGCCGCTCAGGCGGGCCGCCGCCTGCCACTCACGGCGTCGCCGTGTTAAGTTGAGCCGGTGACGTGCGTCGGCCGGCCGGCCGGGCCGGTGATGGAGGACCCCCGCCGGCTCGGTGTCGGCGCGGCATCCGCGTGGGAGCCGGAGCCCCCGGTGCGCGAGCGATTGTTTCCTGTCCGACCTGACCTGACCTGTTGTGGTCTGATCAGCGGCGCCCGGGCCCGTGAACTCCCAGGACAGGGTGATCAGGTGTGACCATGGATCGTTGGCTTGGGACCACGTGGAATACAACCGAGGTAGCCGGTTACTGCTTGTCAGAGTCGGTTTTTGCTGTCCAGTTTCTTGCTTACGCTGTTTGGGTAGTGACTGCTGTCGAGTATTTTGTTCAAATAATTTCATTTTTTGACTATTTCGGCAGGGATGGGATAAACGCGTCACGAAATGACAAGCCGTCTTGTCTTGATGCATTCGTTCAGTATCATTGTAGAAGCTTACCAAGGATTGTGGTAATTTAGCACGTTTAGTTTTCCTGGACTCCTGATGTCTTGCGAAACCGTAGTGTGTGAAAAAACGCGCTATTGCCGAAATCAGTCAAAAGCAAAACCGCCTATTCGCGCGGTTATGTCACTCGATGTCCGGCTCGTTCCTCATCTGTCGCTTTCGCTATCCTCGGCTTGAGCCGACATGCCGGCTTTGAAAGTGGTTGCCGCTTCCAGCCATCTGCGCAGAACTAATCCATCAGCAACAGCTTCAGCAGCGGCGGCAGGCTGCCGGCGACAGTCTCCCCGTGGCGTACAGTCTCTGACGCGCGGGCGCTCCCTGCCAGAGACCGTACACGGCCGCGCCGTCGGCGGCGGCGGGCGGCGGCGCGCTCGGCGCGTGGCTCTGGCGACAGTCAAGCGGGGCGCGCAGCGGGTGCAGGACGCCGATACCGAGCAGTCTGTGACGGGTGAGGAGGGCGCGTGGAGGAGGCGGGGCGACCCGGCCGGAGGGCCGCCGGGCGCGAGTGAGAGTGCGCGCTGCAGGCCAGCGAGCAGCCGGCGGCGGCCGGCCCGGCCGCCCTGGGTCCCCTGGCAGAGCCGGTGACGCGCGTGACCGTGCGCCCCGGCATGAACGTGACCGTGCAGGCACCGGGCGCTATCCGTCTCTTCGTGCAGAGCCCCGGCTTCTACTCGCTGCCGCGCACCAGGGCCCGCCTGCCCGCCATACATGAGACGCAGGTGAGCTGATGGCCAAATGTGCACCGGCGCGAACATCGGATAGAGTGGGGCTCCAGCAATGCTCTCACAGGCGCGAGATACGCGAGACCCGCGGACGTTCCCCGCAGCGCTCGCATGCCTATGCACAGCACCAGGAGGATGGTCGTGAACGTCCGCGTCACGTGACGCAGCGACGAGCGGCGCCGCAAGGCCAACCACCGAGATAATGCCTTAGGCTAGCCTCCTAGCGCCGCCGCCCAGATGAGCCCAGCCGGCTGCAAAACCGGCCTATGCCGAATTCGCGATCGATACGAATGAGACTGCTTCCGTGGGGTGGCAACCGGCCCGTTTTGAAGCTTGCGACGGCCGACCTTTTCAAGACGCCGGCTTCCATCGCTGTGATCTGGTGCCGTGCCATATAGAGTCGCGGGCGGGAGGACGCGCGTCACCGTCCGGCCAGCTGGCCGGCGCCGGCCCGCCGCCCGCCCGCCCGCCGCCCGCCGCCCCGCCGGCCCGCCGCCCGTCTCCCCGATGGTATTCAGGAGATGCGCGCCGGCCCGGGCCAGCCGTGCTCCGGCGCGCTGCCCGCCGCCCGCAGCCCGCCGCCGCCCCGCCGCCCCGCCGCCCGCCCGCCCCCGATGGTATTCAGGAGATGCGCGCCGGCCCGGGCCAGCCGTGCTCCGCCCCGCCGGCCCGCCGCCCCACGGCCGCCCGCCCGCCGCCCAGCCGCCCGCCGCCCGCCGCCCGCCGCCCCGCCCCCCGCCGCCGCCGCCCCCGTCTCCCCGATGGTATTCAGGAGATGCGCGCCGGCCCGGGCCGGCCGTGCTCCGGCGCGCCGTCTCGGCCGCCGTGATTGGCACGCCGGCTTCTTTTGGAGTGACGGCTCGGCCTGATAGGGCCAGTTTTCTCCCGAAAAGCCGCAGCCTTTTATGGCTGATGATAGCCCTCCGCGTTTGGGCTGGTTTCGCCCCCGCGTGCGTCTTCGCATGCGTTAAGAGCGCTGTGCGCAGATTAGGGGCGTGCCTGTTTGGGAGGGCGGCGTATCTGTATTGCGGGTAATTTAGGAATGATGGCACAAAAAGTGACCATCATCGTGTTTCTATTCAGCTCGGCGGGATTAGCCTTCCGTTGGGTCGAAGTCCTTCGGAGCGTCTGCACCAGACAGCCGTTTGCGGTCAGCCCTCGCTGGTGCCCACCTGACACTCCGCAATCCCCCGCATGTGAGCGCGGCTGTCCGTGTTGTCAGAGTACGTCAGCCAGGCTGGTGTCTTCCACGGTAAACACCATCACGCTCGTCGTCCTCCCGTCTGCCAGGCGTGTTTTGATGGCGGCGCTTACACGCGGGCTGGACCACTAAGCCTGGCCTGCGGTCAGGCAGCGGTGTGCGCACATGAGCCGGCCCCCGGCCGCAGCTGATCCCCCCGGCTCCAGTTGATCTCCCCGGCCGTAGCTGATCTCCCGGCTCCAGTTGATCTCCCGTCCCAGCTGACTCCGGTCCCCGGTCCCAGCTGATCCCCCGGCCTCAGCTGATCCCCGGCCCCAGCTGATACGCCGGCCCCAGCTGATACCCCGGCCCAGGTGATCCCCCAGCCTCAGCCGACTCTGGTCCCCCCGCCGCAGCTGGATCCCCCGGCCCCAGCTGATCTCCCGGCTCCAGTTGATCTCCCCGGTCCCAGCCGACTCTGGTTCCCGGCCTCAGCTGATCCCCCGGCCCCAGCTGATCTCCCGGCTCCAGTCGATCTCCCCGGTCCCAGCTCACTCCGGTCCCCGGCCTCAGCTGATCCCCGGCCCAGCTGATCCCCGGCCCCAGCTGATCCCCGGCTCTAGCTGATCCCCCTCGGGCTCCAGCTGACCACCCCGGCCCCACCTGATCCCTGCCCGCGGTCCCAGCTGATCCCCCGGCTCCAGCTGATCCCCGGCCCCAGCTGATCTCCGCTCCAGTTGATCTCCCCGGCCCCAGCTCACTCCGGTCCCCGGCCTCAGCTGATCCCCGGCCCCAGCTGACCACCCCGGCCCCACCTGATCCCTGCCCGCGGTCCCAGCTGATCCGCCCCCCCCCCCCCTCGCCTTCCACCCGGTCCTGACCTGTGTGGTGGCCTTCCGCAGCGGGCGGGCGACGGCCGGCGGCAGTGTGAAGGGGCCAGCACCGCTCACCAGCCTGAGCCGGCCCCAGCCGGGCTGGGCCGGGCCGCCGCTGATGGGACCGCACCGTTACCTGGCGGGTGTCGCGCCGCCGTCGGGCCGCCCACATGACCTTGCCGTGACCGTCAGCTGACGTCGCGCGAGCCGCCGCCCGCCGACTGCGTGCGACCTCCCGGCCGTAAACAGGTGCTTTCGCGCCGTGCGGGCCTCGCTGTTTGAGCTGCTGGTTGTCCCGGATCTGGCGGTGCGGGGCTGCAGTGGGGGGCGCCCCGGGAGGGCGGCGGCGGTGGAAGCCCGGCCTGACGGGGGCAGGTGAGAAGCCGTGTTACCTGAGGGGAAGGCCGCGCTAGCCGCACGGATTCGGTCCCGGTTTTAGACGAAAGCTTTATGATGAATACGTTTTGCGGGTGAATGCAGCAGTATTTATACACGTACACTCGGCTCCTCGTGTGACCTTGCCGCAGCTTTGGTTACTCAGACAGCAACAGCCGTTACCAACCATGGGCTCCAGGGAAAGGAAAACCTGTTTGTGCCTTTGCAAAATCCTGCACCGAGCGCAGGTATTTCCGCACTGGGTACGTGCGCCGCGGCGAAGGCATGGCCGCACTTTTTCCGCGGTATCCTTGCCCCCGGCGAACGTGTGAACAGGGGCGCATGTGTGGACCGTTTGCACAGGTAGCTGAGGTATGATGGAAGGGAGCCACACGCGGTAGCCTGCGACTCGGGGACGCCGGTACCGTAGCGTGTACCTCGGCGTGCGTCGCCGCCCAGTGGCGGATGTTCTGATACCGAGTAGCCAGCGCCGACCTGGGAGCGGTGGCGGAGCGGGTGGCCTCTGTACCCCAGCTGTCCGCTGCCGGCCTGGGAGCGGCGGCGGAGCAGGCGGCCTCTGTACCGCAGCTGTCCGCTGGCGGGCTGGGACGGCCGGCGCTGGCTGCGCGGCTTACTCGGAGGGCAGCAGCAGCTCTCCTCACAGCTCGGCGGCTGGAGAGAGCGGCCCGCCGCGGTCCGGACGGCGCGACTTTTTTCCCGGCCGGCGGCCCCAGTGACGGGCGTCGAGTCTGCTGCGCGCCGACAGCACCGTCCCAGGGGTCCGCTCGCGCGCCGGCCCGTGCGCTGTGGTGCACAGTCCTGGAAAAGAAGGGGACGGAGGGGGGGGGGGCATCGCGCGCTCCCCAGCTGGCCCCGTCGACAGCTGGGGGCCGCCGACAGGCCGGTTTGTCCCGTGGTTGCGGCGCCGGTCACGCGGTGAACCCTTCCCCCTGGGACGGCCGGAGTGGAGCGAGAGACATAACCCCGCAGCTTCGCGGAGGCCGTATCTGGTCGGTCGCTGGCCGCTGCAGGCGTCTCCTGCGGCCAAAGTTGGGTCACTCCCACCCTGAGATGCACGCCGTCTTCCCCCGTCCGCCTTCATTGAGGCAGTAGGGCGGAGGCGGGCACACGCACGACCTCGCCAGGGTTGGCAGGCCCCCGTTACTCGGAGCCCGGCCGCCCCGTCGCGGGACGGCTGACCCGCCGCCTGCGGTGCGCGGCTGCGATCGCCACCGCTGGTGGCACGGCTGAGCGGGCACGGACCGGCCGGCTGACGCCCGTGTAGGTGTCCGTGGTCCGGCGCCGGAGGGGCCGCCGAGCACTCGTCACCCGGACCGGCCGGCTGACGTCTGTGTAGGCGTCCGTGGTCCGGCGCCGGAGGGGCCGCCGAGCACTCGTCACCCGGACCGGCCGGCTGACGCCCGTGTAGGCGTCCGTGGTCCGGCACCGGAGGGGCCCCCGGACGCTCGTCACCCGGGCCGGCCGGTGACGAGCGCCGACGTCTTCTCACGGCCGGGCGTGTCGGGCTGCGTTCCAGCCGGCTGGTGATTAGGCGTGCCGGTGCCGCCGGCCGGGCTGGTCGGCCGGCCGTTCATTGTCGCGCCGGGAGGCGGCCACCGTGGGACGGCGGCGGCGCGATCAAGGCTGCCGCTTCCGGCTGATGTGTCCGACCACCCGCGTCCGGGGACCTCCGGACGCCGGCGGCCACGCCGCGGACAGGCGCCAGAGTGAGCGCCGCCGCCCGCCGCCAGCCGGCGGCAAGGCCTCACACGACCCTGACGTATTCATGACGGCGCCTGTCGTGCGGCGCACCCGTGGCGGCGGCGGCCCGCTCGAGATTGACGGGCGGCGGGCCTGATCTGAGACGCCGTCGCCGCCGGGCTGACGGGCCCGCCGCCCGTCGGACCTCGCTGCCCGGCCGCCGCCACCGCCGCCGCAGCGCTCTCACCCCACTGGCCTGATCTGGGCCGGCGGCCGGCGCTGCGGTCGCTCGATCGGGTGTGAACGGGCGCCGGTCGGGCCGGGTCAGCCGGCCGAGGTCACGCGTCGCCCGCAGCGCCGCCGCCGGGCCCGCTGACGGCCCGGGCGCGGGGCGCGCCGGCGTCGACCGGGTGGGCGGGCCGGCGGGGTGACGGACGTCACGACGTGCGGCGGGTCCCGCCGTGACCGACCCATCTCCGGCACGTGCGCACCCAGCGGCTCATGGCCGGGCCGGGTCGCGGCGTCTATTGTCCGTCCGCGAGCTGCTGGCGGCGCGTGTGTTTGTGGTTATTGTCGGCTACGCCCATTTCACTTTCTCGCCGGCTCTTTGTGGCCGTCTCTGTGCGTGGGAAAGCACAGGAACTGCCTTGACCACGCAATTTTCCGCATCAGATAACAAATGATTGCGCGGCTCGTTGGATTCGCCTGTTGTTTACGTGTTGGTGCGGGGCGGGAAGCGAAGGTGTGAACCGACAGGCCGCGGTGGGCCGCGAGACTGGAGGGCGCCTCGGCCCGGTCCGGTCTGGACCGGTCTCTCGGTCGGTTATTGATGACCCGACACACTTCAGCCGACGGTGCGGGTTCGG